CAGGCAGACCCCGTGCCCAGGGTCTGTGCTCCTTCTGCCCCACCTTGGGTCCCCACCAGCACTGGCACAGGCCCTGTGCTCTTGCCTGTCATTGCCACCCCTCCCCCACTGCTCTTCCCCTGCCACTACTGCTGCCCTTCCCCTGCTGCTTACCTATTTTCTCTCCCACATGCCCACCCACCTCTGCTGCTTCCCACCTTCCTCCTGGCCAGGTCAGGCTGGCTCCATGCCATGCTGTGTTGTCCTGGCCATGCAGCAGGTAACTGCATGGTGCTGGCTGGGGTGGGCTGGCTCTGGGAGGATGCAGTTCTGAGCTGCATGGCCAGGACTGCATAGTGTGGCATGAAGCCAGCCTGGCTCAGCCTGGGCCCCATGGAGTGGGGCGATTGCCCTCCCTTCCTCCACCCATTCTTCTCTGAAACTCTCTCAGATGGAGGGAGGGCAGGGGAACAGCTCCCTGGTTGCAAGGCCAGAAGCCTATGCTAGGCAAAAGCTTCTGGTTGGGGACTGGGGTGGGGCAGGCTAGATGGGCTTTGCTTCTTGCACCACTGGGTCCTGCTGCCAGCTTCTCCTGCTGCTGGTACTTCATCAGCTTTGACAGGCAGTCACTGGCAGGTAATACTTTTCCAAATTTTAGAGAAGCCCCATGGACTGGACAGAATGGCCTGGTGGGCCAGATCCAGCCTGCGGGCTGTACTTTGCCTGCATCTCATATAGAGTGTTACAGAAAAATAACCATTATTTATAACGTTTTTTAAAACAGATAATAGATCCATTTGTTGAGGTGGAGATTATTGGATTACCTGTAGATTGTTGTAAAGACCAGACCAGGGTGGTGGATGATAATGGTAAGATAATACAATTTACTTCCTTTTCTCTTATAGTAAATTACTGAGTAACTGTCACATCATATTACATTATGGCACTTATAATCCTCTATAGCGCATATTCTTCAAGTCTCTAGTATGCTTATAATATTCATCAATTACTTCGTAACTGTATGAATGATTTATGACTTTATCCTTAATATAAATGTCGTCATATTTGCAGATTCTTAAAGAGACATCAGGCCAAAGTAGAGAACAATTTAATATGTTGTGGTGAGAAGAGCTGATCTTGTAGACTGCATTTAATTGCATGGACTTTTTTTCTTATTTGATGTAGGCCCCTGTAGCAGGGCACTGTGGTGCCTGCTACTTGTGGAGCGATAAGTAAGGAATCCAGCTGTGGGTTGCCGGGATAACCAGTGGGAGTCACCTGACCAGAAGGGGCAGGGCCTGGCTCCCATATAAACCCAGGCTGAGGCCAGGCAGGCAGTTCCCTGCCAGCAGCCAAGGGAGAAGGAGCTCTGCCAGAGCAAACAGAGGGGAGAAGCCTGACTGCACGAGCAGCTCCTGATTGCTGTTATGGGGTGGAGAATTCCCTGGTAGGGATTGAATATTGTTTAGCTGGACAGCTTAGATTTTATGTTATAGCCCAGGGGCTTGTGTTTTTGTGTTTGCTGTTTAGACCGGAGGACTGGGTGAGGCTATTAGGGGTTGGAGGAGGCCTCATAGTAGCGTGGGGACCCCGGCGCCAGAGTGGGTGCTGCATTCGGGGTGCACTGACCCCAGCCTCGAGAAGGAGGAGTAGAGAATTGAAGGCCAGGTAAGGCCGACACCACCTGAGCCCAGTGGGGGTTTGAGACCCCAAGGAGGGGAGTTGTGGGACCGGGCACAGCTACAGCCACCTGAGCCCCAAGGCTGAGAGAAGCCCCAGAGCAGAGGGGGTGGCGATTGACGAGCCCCAGAGGGGGGGCGCAGTTGCGAGACAAGGCTACAGAAAGTCCGAGCGCCAGAGGGCACGGTGAGAGACAAGGGCCGCAAAGAGTCCAAACGCCAGAGGGCACGGTGAGAGACGAGGGCCGCAAAGAGTCCAAACGCCAGAGGGCACGGTGAGAGACGAGGGCCGCAAAGACCCCGAGCGCCAGAAGGCGCGGTGAGAGATGAGGTCCACGGAGAAACCAAGTGCCAGAGGGCGCAGTGAGAGACAAGGGCCACGGAGAGCCTGAGGGCCAGAGAGGGTGCAGAGAGCGAGACTGACCAAACAATGTCCGGTACATCTGTGAGGCTTGGGCTGCAGTGTAATGAGAGGAAAGGAGCTGCAGATAGTGCCCCCTGGCATCGGGACAGAAAATGGGCAGCCTCCCGCTTAATTAACATCCTCTAATTAAGCAATTAACAACAAGGCATGGCAGGCGAGAAGGCGGGCGGTTGACCACTAACAGGTGGTCGGGTTCACTAGTGGACAGACCCCGAAGAGGCGCACCTGTCACAGCCCCTCATACAATTAAATAACTTTTAAGAAGTGTTTAATAATTCTAGTAACATCAGTGTTCTGTTGATTATTGGCCTGGCTATTGTTGATATGATTTGAACAGGATGCGTGAGGAACTTCTAGTGCTGAAGCTGTGTTTAACCTAAATTTCTTAAAATAATATGAAGTTCTTTGAGAAAAAAATATCATATATGCTTAGGCAAGCTTGGTCAGCAAATGCAAAAGGGACCTCAGTCCATTGTAGCCTAGACTACCACATAATACATTTATCACCCACATAAACTAGTAAAGAGCTGGTTTGGTTTAAGAACTTTTATACAGTCTAATAACTGTGCTGGGATCCAGTTACAACACACTTGTCCCCTAGTAGGTCCATAGTGACTCACCTTATAGTGATGGGGTAAAATGCCTGTGCTAGTTTTGTTTTTTGTTTTTTTTTTACTGTGACTGTACCTTTTAATACCATTGACTATGAATTACTGACATCTTGTATAGATGCAAAGGAACAGAGGGCCTGATTTTCAGTTAAGTTGTGTATGCACAAAGGTAGGAGTGGACTACAGCTAAGCTGGCTTTGAACTGCTCCTGATTTGGGTCCCATGCAGGCTAGCCTGGTAGAGCTGCTCAGGAATTTTCCATTGATTTCCCCCCCCCCCTTTTAGGGAACTGCTGATTCATCAACGCAAACTGTTGCATGAAAAAATGACCTGTTTCAACATTTTTTAACAGGAAGGTCCAGGAAGAAATTTCTGGTCAAGGGTGGGAGGAGAGAGGATAGGAAGAGGGAAAGTGGGCCCTCAGAATAGCCCTGGGGGGAGAGTAGTCACTTGTTTTCCTTTCTAGGTATGTGTCCTGATTTCCTTCCCTGGCATGTATCCTGGGTAGCACAAAACTACTCTGTTACCTATCTGCTCAACTGGCAGCTTCCAGAATTAGTAGTACCTGGTCCTTCCCCTCCAAAGCTTCATAAAGGGCCTGGGTTGTAAGTGCAGATTGTATAGTGATTTAGGGTGTATCGTCCTCTGATGGATACTTGTGCAATCCTCTTCAATATTCATTGGAATTTTCCTCTTCGGGACAGATTCTGTCATCCTGCTGAGTAGCCTCTTACTTTTCAGAGAGCTCTGATTTTAAAATATATTGGTAAAAAATCCTCAAAGCGATTAAAATGGACCTGTTAACAAGGTAAGTTTCATGTAATGTGAGCCATGGTGGTAGGATCTGGGCCCTAATTAAGCAGTTAACTTGGTCAAAAGGAGCATGGTACAAATATTTAGCCCACAGTCCCTGGACAAGGAACCTAAACTATGGACTGGTCTCCACAGTGAAGAGGGAATAAAACTTGGATTAAGCATCAGCACTTAACAAGAGTCTTGGGAAGATAGTAGCGTAGAGTAGCAGTACACAATAAATGACCCGAAGGTAAAATAATGCAAACTTTGACATCACCAAAGTTGCTGGTTGGTGGCAGGATATCCAAAACCAGTACCAAGAAATACAAAAAAGTGAACCAAAGTTTGGGTCCACAGGCAACTGTATCAATTTGAGGCTCTTGGATTTTTAAACATCAATGATAAATACAACTGCAAAGCTTGATAGCACATGTGTGGCAGGGCACCTTTGGTGCCTGCTGATTTAAGGGCTTGAGTAGAGCAGCCTGCAGGTTACTGTAGTCTCAACTGGGGGGAGGGGGGGATCACATGGCCATCAGGAGCACAGTGGAGCACACTCCAACAGAAAAGTGCAGGGCCAAGGCCCATTGAGTTGGGCCTGAAGTATGTCAATAGATATCTGAGGCCCAAGGGGCATAAGGCCCAGAAGCCCCAGTGAGGGGGAGGAGTAGTGACCCCAGTGAGTGGGAAGAATAGTGGCCCCAGTGAGGAGGCAGAGTGGGAGCTGGCAGCCATGTAGAGTAGGGCCTTAAGGGGGCCTGAAGGACTGCACATGGGCTGACTGGAGTAGCTAGAGTGGAGGTCCCAGAGAGGGGGCATGTGTGGAGGCCCCAGTGAGGAGGCATGCAACCCAGGCACATCTAAGGATACCTGAGGTCAAGCTGGGCCAGAGGCTGAGGGCAGCCGAGTTAAGAGGCCAGGGAAATGATAGTGGATTTTGGAATCTATCTGCGAGGCATGGGATATGGTATAAGCGAAGGTTCAGAGCTGCATATTACTCCCTTAGCATCAGGGCATTAAATGGGCAGCCTCCTGCAACTTTCCATCTTTTACACATCTTTTATACCTAGACAGGTAGGTGGGACGACAATTGGACTCAGCTTAGAGATGGCCCGCTGTCACAACATGAAACCATGTGATTGTTTTTTTGATGGATAACGTAACCTGGTATCTGGGGCTTTAAAATCCTGCTTTCCAGTAAAAGTTGTTAGAGTGAGAAGAACAAGGCAGATCACTCAGTGGTGGAAAAGGGAGTGCAACATGAGAAAATGCTCTGCCTATGTCTCCTTTATATAGAAGTTCTTAGGTTATATCATACATGTATGCATGGTATATAAATGTAATAGGAAACAAAGTGAAAACTGTGCCTTAGACTTTCTGCCACCTCAACCCTTTTGGGAGATGAAGCTAGCAATGGGGTGGAACAATCTGTCAGTTCTCACAGATGGCTCTGATCTATGGGGAAAAGTAGGGACAGCTTCTGTGCTTTTTGGTACATTTGTGCTTGACTTCCCATAGGTCTAGTAGCACATCTGCATGCCTTGCCATGCTGCCATAGGCAGACCCTCAGCCTGCTGCCCAACTAATGCCTGTTTTGTTTTTAAAAATAAATAAAAGAATAATAATTTTTTAAAATGCCTGGGAGAGAGAACCACTCATTTATTTCTGCATCTGGATCTTTTCATACAGCTATATGGGTACATGTCACACTGCTATGTGCTAATACACTACTGCACTGTGTTATTAAGCTACTGTGCAATAAGTGTCTCATGTAGATGCGCCCATTGTTGATGAGAAATAATATCTGATCTAGTTCTGTTCCACAGATGTCTTTTTCACCCCCCTGCTGCTGCTCTATTTTTGTCATCCCCCTGCTGACTTTCTGCTTTGTTCATTTCATAGGATTTAACCCCGTTTGGGAAGAAACACTTACTTTTACTATCCACATGCCTGAAATAGCTTTGGTTAGATTTCTTGTTTGGGACCATGATCCTATTGGTCGAGACTTTGTTGGACAAAGAACTGTGGCCTTCAGCAGTCTTGTGCCTGGTAAGTTCCTTCTTTGAAGACTGGGACTAATTACCACAGAGTTCCTTTGTGACCCAGGACAAATAATCAACTATCCTAGGGAGGAATTCCCTAGGCTACCTTAGCAATTTGGATCCTACTTCATGTTGGCATTAGAAAGTCTTCCCCTCATTCTGGCTCCTCATCTGTGATATAGAGTCAATAAATACCTTTATCCCACAGCTATCCAAGTGGTGGCCTGCCGGCTACATGTGGCTGCTGCTGTCCCAGTTGTTTCAGCTGCAGCAACAGCCAGAGTCTTGACACTTTCCTTCTCTCCCCCCAGCTTCTGCTGCATGCCCCAGAGGGTGGTGCAGTGTAGTGCAGCCCAGTGTAGCCCATGGTGCTGGGGTATCTGGCAGCCTGAAGTGCCTGTGTGCCAAAGGGGAGCAGCTGAAGGTGAGGTGGAATGCTGCGTCACA